CATTAGGTTTTCTCCTTCCCCAGCATATTCAGCTCCCACATCGAGCTGTTCACCCAATGCTCACAGGAATAACGCTCTCCCCAAAGCTGAGGATCCACGTTTCACCTCTCCAGAGCAGGGCAGAGAAGGGAGCACAAGGAGACAGGAGGGGAGGGGAGATAGGAACTGAGAGCAGGGGTCAAGGTGAGCCAAGGTGCCTTTTGCCCCAACAAACAGGTGCTTTGGCACCCTATTTAGGGTGAAACCCCCTCAGTTTCTCAGCAGAACGCCTGAACACACTGCTGCTCACGGGGGTGTTAGAGGCCCAATAACACCAGTAACACGGGGGTGTTAGAGGCCCTGTAACACCACAGGCAGGCCCATAGAAACACCCCCACACAAACACACTGCTGGTACGTCCATATTGCTACACGGAGTGACTTTTTACAAGGGCATGTAGCGGCGGGACACGGGGGAATCGTTTCCAACTGGCAGAGGAGAGATTTTGGTTCGACATTAGGAAGTTGTTCCCTGTGAGGGTGCTGAGGCGCTGGCACAGGGTGCCCAGAGAAGCTGTGGCTGCCCCATCCCTGGCAGTGTTCAAGGCCAGGTTGGACACAGGGGCTTGGAGCAAGGTGCTCTAGTGGAAGGGGTCCCTGCCCATGGCAGGGGATTGGAAGTGGATGAGCTTTAAGGTGCCTTCAACCCAAACCAGTCTGGGATTCTATGATCCAGCGATACCATACACCCCACAGGCAGTATATACACATGCACCCCAACACGCACATCAAGGCAAGCACATATATATACATATGTATAACCCTCACACACAGCACAGGCAGGCCCATATGGATGTACCCACACACAACCCCAGCCCTGGGGTCCCCGCTGCCGCCACGACAGACGGCGGCCCGGCCCCGCGCCCTCCCCCGCCGCTCCTTACACCTCCATCTTGTCGGGCCCGGCCGCCGCGCTGAGGACTTCCCCTTGCGCTGCCACAGGCACCCGGAGCCCGCCCGGAGACGGCGAGGGGAGTGCGGGAGAAGCCGGGCTGAGCTGCAGGAAGTTTTGGCTGCCGGAACGGAAGCGGAAAAGGAAGGAGAAATAAAGGGTGCGAGGGGAGGGGAAAAAAAAAACATCAACTGCATTGGCCGGGAATCGAACCCGGGCCTCCCGCGTGGCAGGCGAGAATTCTACCACTGAACCACCAATGCCGGTGATGGTAGCGTGCGGTGCACGCCGTCACTTGTACCTAGCGCGGACGGACGTGAGCTCTGTTAAAACACCCCGATCCTGGCAATTACCCCCCAAGTATGACAAGGGGGAAACAGTATCCTAAGAGGCCCTTCCGAATCAAGTCTAGCCATGCGCAATACAGTAAAGCTGAACTAGGTGTAGAATGCTCCCATCATCTTTTAAAGCACCTTATAACCTTATCAAGGGCATCAGTGTCATATGCCTTTTCCTACCATCACTTCTTCCGCATTCAATTTAGGTGCTGTTAAGTTATTCAAGAGCCCTTTTCATTCTCAAGAAAACTGAAGATACTTCATTGAATGCAAATAGCTGAAAATCCAATTGGCTACAGCAATTGAGAGCCAGAATTAATTAATGACTTAATTAATTACTTAATTTTGCCATTATCTCTCAGTTTCAAGTTTATTTGCAATGCCAGAAACACTGCCTAAGGAGTCCCATTCACTTGTTTGCAGCTGGGCTGTAAGAGCAAACTAGGGAACCAAGTGGGTTAGACTTGTGGTCACAACCTCCCTCTTGCAATACCAGCACAAAATCCACCAGCCATTTAACTCTCTCCAGTCACACCACAAGAAAGTCTACTCCCACTTTTGGGATTTGACTTCTCCTTGGGATGTTGCAAATCCTAAATCAATTCTGATTAATGTGAATAAACTGCAGTGCTTCAGAAACAGGCAGGACAGCAAGCAACAAACTACTCCGAGCTCTGCAGGAGCCATTGTCATCAAATCCCTAAGTGCTAGGCAAAGTCTGAAAGCCTCCTGCAAAGCTTTTTTAGCCCTTTTCTGCTGAAGAGCCTTAAAAAGGCTTCAGTGGACATGTGGACCCCATCATGCACAGATTGTGGTACAGGTAGAAATCAGCTATACTCCAGAATCATTTGTCATGGAGTCCTACAGAAAAAGAGCCACGGGAAGGTCTTCAAACTGCAGACTGAAAGCTGTTGGTCTGACTCAGTGGACAGGATGTAACAGATGCTGACCTTTTCCATGTCAGGATTAACCAACATTGTAAATTGGCCAAAGCCTGCACAGCAAATGCTCTGTAACTTCTCTGCCATGTTTCAAACCCCACACGTGAAACTGCCTGCACACCAGCTCCCAGCCAGGCTAAAGGGAATAAAGGATGTCAGCTTTCATTTGAAAAGATGGCATTTTCCAAGACTATCAAATTTCAGAGTTTTGTTCCAGAAATCTGCTAATCCTTGCCTGCCTCTCATCACTCTCCCTAGATACAGCTTCAGAATCTTCAGCATATGGCTTTCATTTCTCTTTTGCATCCCCTCTTTATAGCTCTCCCCCGTCACCGATTTATCTTTATTTTAACTGTTTCTCCAAAAGTTTCATTCCAGACCTTTGCTGCTGTAGTTTTTTACAATCCATGATGATGATGATGCCTGAACCCAGCAGCTGGAATAAATCAGCAAACCACAAATGCCTCTCTCCACAGCTAGGTATTTAGAGATATTCTTCCCAAGTATTTTCCGATGGAGACATATATGTTAGGGTGCAAATATATATATGGAGCAGCTACAGGTCCATGCGAGGGAGAAGGGGAATATCTAAGAGATAACTCATTATCTTTACACACAACTTTTCAGGAGATGGCAATGAGCTCAGTTCCCTTTCTTTTGAATTGCTGCATTTTAGGTGTTAGACAGTTATGCTACACCATCCATAGGGAATGCAGACATAGGTTTTACTAAATGTGCTTAGCATGTCAACATTTTAAGCATTGGCTTGTGATTGTTACCACTAAGGCTTGGTGAGAGAGGGGCCTCGGTATTAACTATTGAAAGCAGGGGGCCTAGTAATTGCTATTGAAAGCAGATCTGCGGGGTATTTGTGTTCTTTGTCATGAAAGATGTTTACTGGATTCAGCATTTCGCTGAGCACCATTTAGTGTCTTTTTTTTTTCTTTTACATTCAAAATTCATTAAACAAAGTTGGTTTTTTTTTCCCAACAGAAAATGTCAGCACTGCTCCACACCAGTGCAGCTGACGGTGCGTTTGAGCAGCGCTTTCAGCCCACAGAGCTTTTATTCTTGTCCTAAACCAAAAAGACAGTTAAAAAAAGGAAGGTTTTTAAAGCAGGTGCACTGCAGCAGGGTCTGCATCCTTTTTCTTCCCTAGACTCAGTTATGGAAATGAGTCCTAATATGAAAAATGCACTTCTAAAACCACCAAAGCGCTCTTTGGAGCTGCACTCCCCAGGCACAGTGCTCTTCCAGCAACAAGAGCACTCGGAAAGGAATAGTAAGGCTGTGACTGATGATAAAAATAAAGTTCAAAACTTTGAGGACATTCAAATACATTTAATTAAACTTCTTCATGCTGCAAAACGGGCATTTTACTCTCTAGTGCTACCTCATTGTATCTCAGATTAGAAAAGGAATATTGTAGCTGGGAATATTGATGTATGAATGATGCGCCACAAGGGAAAATAAATGGAAAACCTTTCTCTCAGGCCTTCCTCGGTTTTGAACCATGGGGTGGAGATTTGGGGGTTAATCTTCCTATTTCACTAAATCAAATGTTGAAAGAAGATGATGGGAAGTGGAGAGCCATCCAAACCAAATCAAATTGAGAAGTCAGTAACGAGAGTCCATTCCAGTGTGCATTAGAAAACCTATTTTGCAATTCCATTTCACTGTCTGACCTGCAAAAAAGTCCAGCTCTCCAGTTCCAAGCATCTTTAAGAAGTGCTATTTCTTCAGTGTTCAATTTACATTAATGACTTCTGCTTGGAAGTTTCATTTCCATTCTTATTATAAAAATACATTCCTCTGTATTCTACATTGCTTATTTTACAGAAAGGATAGTTATTGCCTGTTTCATCTAAAAATGGGAAAAGGGAGACTGAATAATCTCCTAGCTACAAACTGGGACAGGAGTTAAGCAGCATACTATAAGCAAACTAATCCCTCCGAAGTTTGCTGAACACACTGGGATAGTGCTGACAGATTCCATGTGAAAGCACACGCTCTTGCCACATGTAATATCAGACACAGATTAATAAGATCTTACTGACATTGATGTGCTCTGGTTACAAATACAGTGTTACTATTCTCCCAACACATCAGCAATCTCTTGTCAATGCCCAGAGAAAGTACAAGGGCACTCCTAAAGGGTGAATAAGGCAAGAAAAGTGGTAAAAATGGGGGGTTTCAAGGAACACAGTCACAAATGATCTTTCCTAATGATGAAGGATCCAAGTGTAAAAAAGGAAAAGCAGGTGAGTTGCAAAACTGAGAACAGCAGAAAAGGACAAGAGGGTGAGTTAAAGGAATGAAAAGAACCCAATAAAACGTGGATGAGAAAGCTGGAATATGTTTCCTGAGCTCTGTGAAAGGTTTGGAGCACACAGATGAAAAAATACTATACCATATTAGTGTACTCAGTATGGCAAATCTGCAAGCAAAACAGCGCTCAGTGTGTGAGGTGCTCATGAGGAAATGGTGCTGAGCCGTAGCTTTGCAAGTTGCTGCTCCCAAAGCTCTGTTGTACTTTAAACTGGTTCTTTACTTCCATGATAGCTGAGGTTTGATGAGTTTAAGAGACAGGCTGCTTGCCAAGGCTTCATCACACCCCGCCCCGCCGGGGCGGGACGAGCCGCCAGCCCCGCGCACAAGCGGCTAAAAGCGGGCGGCGGGGACAGGGAACAGCGAGCGGCCGGGGCTGAGCTGCGGAGCAGGTGAGCGGGGCCAGCGTCGGGACCGGCCACTGGGAAGAGGACCAGTACCAGGACTGGGTCCCTCACCTCACTGCGCTGTCCCACAGGTCGCACCAGTTGCGGGATCGCTGCCGGAACAAGCAGAACATCGTCCGCAATGGCTGGCGAGGTGAGGGTGAACTTTGCTTCTCTGGCGGGGTGGTCTCGGGGTGCTCTGGCAAACACAAATTCAGCTGAGTTAAAGTGTAAGTCGCAGGCCGAGCAGCCTGCCATTGCCTGCAGGTTCTTCCTTCTCGCAGGGAAGGACTAATAACCCGTGCAGTTCATTCCTGATGACTTGTGTTGAGGCAGGAGGTACTGCACAGCAGGTCCTGCAAACGTTTCTCTGTACAATAGCTGCGTTTTCAGTTTCTGTGCTTGGTAGGTGAGACGTGAGCAGTCATCTCCGTGAGTCACACTCTACCTTCAAATGGCTACTACAGCCCTGGCCTCCTCTGCTCTGGGTTGCAGATGAGTGTCTGTCAACTCTTGGACTGTAATAGCCACCTCTCAAATCAGAGTCCTGCAGCCAGCTAAAGTTAATCTTTCAGTTTTAATTTCCTGATTGCAAATGTATGTGTTGCAATGCTTCTGCTGACCCACTTCTCACTTTGATGGAAACCTGTAATACTGAAGTTATATCTGAACAGTCCTGTTCCCTACTGAAGCACTCGGCTTCTGATACTGGCCTTTAATTCAGCACCCCCTGTGCCATGCTCCTGTGGGCACCAGATGCACACTGAGGTCTCTAATGCTTTTCTTGCTTAATTCTGATTCCCTGTCTGCCTTCCCTCAGCTTTCTGACAAACCTGCCTTCAAGATGCTTACACCCTTACCTGTGTAGGCTCTCTGCTGCTGCCCTCTCAGTCATGTTGTTTCAGCAGGAGTCAGCAGAGACATGGAGACAATCACTAGGAATCAAGTTTCTGAGGTTACTCAACAGTGCTTTGACTGATAAAGCCCTGACACAGACTAGCTTGCAACTGTCCCACCAGCTTCTTGCTGTCCATGGTAGTTACAGTGTGAGAAGAGACTGGACAGGGGTGTCTGAAAGAAAATCAGATAGATCAGTAATTATTACCTGCTCTGTGGTGGTGACTGGATTTCAGCCCTTCCTTTAAATGACTCCAGTTTCTTTTTTGTGCTTGTTAGCAGTAGAGAGTTGCTTTTGAAATCTTGGATAATTTGTAAGGCCTCTGCACAAGTGAAATTCCATTTCAGTGTAAGTTTGCTAGAGTTCTGGGGGGTCCTACCCAGGCAAGCAAAAAGTGACATATATGTCTCTTAGCTGGTGAATCCCTTCAGTTGCTGATTCACTGGTGAAAAAGCTTACACACAACCAGCTGTGCTGCATAGATAGAATTATGTACCTGTCTTGGTCACCCAGTGCAGTAGTTAGGTAGATGACACATTCAAGTGTGTCAGGTTACTCTATGACTCTTGGTTATGGGTAGAAAACCAACTTTCATTTCTATGCATTTTAAAACCTTCTTGTTGATTGATTTTCCTAAACATCCCTGATGCTTGACTCCCTTTCTGGAGTCTGGACCTCAACCAGTTTTATGCTAATTCTAGGCCAAAGCTTGCAAGCACATCGTGGACTCTGGAGATGCCCCAAACACGTCATAATGTGGTTTGTGCTGGCCTCCAGCTCTTTGTCAATCAAAGAAACATATCTGTTAGCTCAACAGAACAAAAAGGCCTTTGATGACACTGGCTTTCACTCTATTTGTTAGCCACTGCTTTCCTTTTTTTCCCCCTTTAAAAGGCTGTAAGAGTGTTGTTGACCTGCAGCTGCCTTAAAAGAGAAATCCATGCTGATCTTGCACCATATGCCATGATAATAATTTCATGGACTCCCTGCAGAGACAAAATGTCCTAGAGGATTCCTGAGCCAGGCCTCACAGCCTGGGAGCTAAACACTAGTGACAATGACATGTTCTCCATTGCTTTGCCAAAGATCCTGAAGTCCAGGATGTTCCTGGTCAGGGCTGCCACCCTGCAAGAATATAGATGAGCATGGCCTCGTACTGCATGAACAGATCACTGGATGTTACATGGTGCATAGGACCTTCACTGAAGTTATTTGGCCTCTTTAATATGCTGCTTCCTTTGTCTCAGGGAGATAAACTTTGGGGAGGAAGATTCCGTGGGAGCACAGATCCAGTCATGGAGATGCTCAATGCTTCCATCAGCTATGATCAGAGACTGGCTGAAGTTGATATCCAGGGGAGCATAGCTTATGCCAAAGCCTTGGAGAAGACTGGAATCCTACCTAAAAGTGAGATGGAGAAGATCCTGAGTGGCCTGGAAAAGGTATTTATTTCCCTCACTGTCATGTGTGCTGGAATGAATGGCCCCTTCTCTGACAGCATCTCTAGTAGCATCCCTGAGCTGCTGTTCTAAAGAGAATCTTTGCATGTTCTCGTGTTCTATTCCTCGGGGCTAGGCATGTGCTGAAATGCTTTCCTGAAAGGGAATGCTGCCCTAAGTCACAGACATGATGGGCCATGTGTACTGCACTCAGGTCTCTTGGACACATTCTGGGCAGGAGATGGATGCTCAGACTGCATCCCACTAAATGCACCAAAGCCCAACAGTGGGATGTGAACCAGCTGAGAAGCCCCCAGTGAGAGCCTGAAGCCCTGAGGAGCACATTGCCAATGCTCAGCGTGACAGCCCCAGTGCCACAGTGAGGTGTGCTCAGTGTGACCTGCCCAGCCTCTTCACACTGCAGTCACCAGGAATTGTTCCCTATGAACTAGGAATATTATTTTCCTGCTGGCAGTTGGGATCCCACTGAGTCTGGCTGCCCGAGTCAGAAGCAGGCAATGCATAGCCTGCATAGAAAATATCCCATTGTTCTTGCTCACCCACCATGGACAATGGTGACTCTATACAATGTTTGTATAGGAAAATCCTGGTGGACAATGAGCTCCCTTTTTGCTGCAAAGCTTAAATCCTCCTATAGCCATAACACTGCAGAATCATCATGGGGAGAGAGAGGAATCCCAGCAAGCGCAGTATAGAATAGTGGGAGAGAGCAAGCAGCCAGCCTTGGCCTGAAAGAACAGGAATGCAGAGCTCATGTGAGACTTAACACTTTGATATCCACTGGGATGGCAGAAATTGGTATTTCCTGAGGACACCCATGCACAGCATCAGGGTAACTGTAGAGGCTGACTGGTGTTTCTGCTGATGTTTGTAGATCTCTGAGGAATGGTCTAAAGGAGCCTTTGTGGTGAAACACACCGATGAGGATATCCACACTGCCAACGAACGCAGACTAAAGGTTTGGGTCCTCTCACCTCTTGCTCCTGCTCCTCTGGAGCTGCATCTGCCTGACCTGAAGTGCTTGTACCTCTGTTCCACTGGGAAATTCCACTAGATCCCTGCTGCACAATCAAGTGGCTCCAAGATCCCTTTTGTGGAAGAGGCACTATAAGTATAGAACCCAAACGTGCCCTTCCCCAGAAGGGATCCCATGGCTACTCACAGGATCCCCCAGAACCCCTTCCAGGCAGGGATGAGGTCTGCTCATGTGGAGTCTCCTGCTTAGAGTACAAAGATACTGATAGAAATCCTCTTCTTGTTTTCAGGAGCTGATTGGAGACATAGCTGGAAAGCTGCACACTGGAAGAAGCAGGAATGATCAGGTTTGTACAGAGCTGGTTGTTTTTTCTCCTTCGGTATTCCTCCCCCACCTCAGTTCCTTAATCATATTTCTTTATGCTATCTTTTACATGACCTGACACTCTCCAGCATGTACTCCCTAAGGCTTTAAACTAGTGACTCATCTGCATAGGAGAATGGGCACTGCAGAGTTGCTTCCTGGTGGTAAAAGCCCACAGACTTCCACTGACATCGCTTTGAAAGCCTGCAGAAACCATGATGTTACTGGCTGGGTGCAACTTGCAGGATCAGTCCTTCTAATGAATACTGACTTGGTTTGGGATTTTCTTAGTCAAAGTTGACAATACGTGAGGAGCCACTGAAAAGAATGGGCTTTGGTTCTGTTTATGGAAAGCAAGATGCAGTGTTTTTCACAAATCAGTGATCCCTTCCCATCACACAGAACAAAGAGGGGATAACTCTGCCAGGGACTCCTGCTGAACAGTATTTCCTTTATATGTCACATTCTGCTTTGTCTGACTGTGGCCAATCTCATACAGGTTGTGACTGACTTGAAGCTGTTCATGAGGAATTCCCTCTCTGTCATCTCCAGTCACCTCCTGCAGCTCATTAAGACCCTGGTGGAACGTGCTGCCATGTAAGTCCTTTCCAAGCCCATGACCTTTGCCTTGCAGGACCAGGAGACTTCCAGGCTTGCTCTTTGGCTGGCCCCCATGAGGGCAGCAGCAGGGCCTCCTGCAGAGGAAGTTACAGACAGACAGGCACTGTGTGGTAGCACAGGGAAAGGTAATGGACCCTCTTTCCCCATAGTTCACAGTGTATCCAGGCAAAGGAATTGAGGTGGGAAGTGCAGACAAGACTTCAGAAGGACCAAATCCATCTGAAGGAGTGGGGAACATGTTTCAGGTTGCTAAACAGGAGAAAAGCCCAGCTGTGTAAACTCCCTGTTTAACTCTGCTCCTTACACACCACGTTCCAAACTGGTGGTGGACTGGGGAATCTTTGCCTGTAGTTTTCCAGAGAGGTCTATGGCAGATTGACCACTCTGGAAGACTGGGAAATCTAAACCCCATGTGCTTAGGTAGCAGGTAACAGGGAGATAGACCAGCTTCAGCACAAGCTAAAGATTTTCTCTTGCCAGAAACCCTGGAGTGTACCTGCCACTGCTGGTATCCTCACAGCTGCTGCTCACCTCTTTCTCTCCTTTCACATGCAGAGAAATTGATGTTATCTTGCCTGGCTACACCCACCTGCAGAAAGCTCAGCCCATCAGATGGAGCCAGTTCTTGCTCAGGTAACCACCTTTACACTTGGCTGCAGGGACCCTTCTCCACCCTTGGGGCCATGCTCAGCTGGAGCCTAGAAGGGCATTGTTCTCTGAGGGGGCAGACAGGGCTGGTGACAAACCAGAGATAACCTTGCAGACTGGAAGAGGAGCTCCCCATGTGGCTCTGATCCAAGCACTGAGGGGGCAGTGGAGGCTGACTCCTGCATGCTCCATCCTTTGGCCACTCTCACCTCTTGGGTTGTGTGACACTTTCTGACATCAGGTGCTTCACCTCTCATGTCCTTTCCCAGCCACGCTGTTGCTCTGACCCGTGACTCTGAGCGCCTGGGAGATGTGAAGAGGAGGATGAATGTCTTGCCTTTGGGAAGGTAAGTTTGTGTTCTCACTGCGCATTGCTTTGCTCTGCCTTCTCTGCTTCCTAGAGCTCAGTTTTGGTTGAATACCTTGCATGACTTCTGTTTCTTTCTTCCCTGGCAGTGGTGCTTTGGCTGGCAACCCACTGGAAATCGATAGAGAGCTACTGCGTAGTGGTAAATGTCTCCATATGGCTGAGTGACACTTGCCTACCTATAATGTCTAGAAGGGAGGGAAGCATTGATGTATGGCTTACAATGGGACCATAATACACTGTGTTGGAGCCAAAGCTTTTCTTTCATAAGGCTTTTTACTGCAAAGAGAGACAATGCCTGTTAGCTGAGAGCAGGAAAAGCTAAATCTGCTGCACACTGGCTGCCTGGGCTAATAACAAAGACCCCAGTCAGTGAAGAGTTTAAAATGTCTGTTTCTGGGACTTCTCAAGGGCTCACAGTTACCTGCATGCTGGGGCAAACTGCTATGTTCTAGCTCCATTCATATCAAAACTGACTTCCTTTGTCCATCACCTTCCTCACAGAGCTGGACTTTGCCTCCATCAGCCTGAACAGCATGGATGCTGTTAGTGAGAGAGACTTTGTGGGTAAGCACAACTCAATCACTTCTTCCCAACACCATTCTAGAAGTAGCCTCCTGAGACCTTTCCAGTCAACTTCCCTTCATAAAGGACTGAAATCCTCCACTAGGAAGTAATTATACAGAAGACCTGTTTGATAGTGTTTAAATTCCAGTAGGGGTTCCCTGGGTTATCAAGCAAACAAGCACCTTTTTCACATCCTGATTTCCTGCCTTCTCTGCAGTGGAATTCCTCTCTTTTGCCACCCTGCTGATGATCCACCTGAGCAAGATGGCTGAAGATCTCATCATCTACAGCACCAGCGAGTTTGGCTTTGTGACCCTCTCTGATACCTACTGGTAAGTCTCTGTACAAAGAACCAATCCCTCAGCCTCTCCTCCTCAGCTATCCTCACCTGAAAGAGTAAGACAGTGTTTGGGGTCTCCCTGCTGCCCCAGGCTGATACAGCATGAAAAGGCTGGCAGAAAGGCAGCCGTAGGGTGAATACCCCTCAGTACTGAACACTTCTTTCTGACTCTGGCAACTCCACTAAGTCTGCATGCAGCACTCGCTCCTCCCCAGCAACTGCTGGCACACACAACTTCCTCCTCTGCTGGCACTGCCTGCCAAAGCCTTCCCTGCCTGGCCGGCTTTGCAATCCTAACGGATTTCCTGCCTCTTGGGGCAGCACAACACAGCCCTCCCTCTGTTGTCACAGAAGGAGAGCTGACCTGGTGATAGCAGCCATGGGGGGGCTTGTGGACAAATCTCCTCTTTGCTGCCTCTTTGAGAGGTGGAACTGCATGGTAGCTCCAGGCAGGACTGCAAAACCGAAGGCTTTGCTGTGGGAAACATGAGAAAGTTGGCACACTCAGTTCACTGCTTTCCTGAAGCCTAGACAGAAAAAGGGACAGATGTGTTGCTTTTGGAGGGCTGTAACAGGTTGCTGCATGACCTGTGTCTGTATGGGCTGGGGTCCTGCTCACCATTACACTCCACACACCTTTGTTCCAGCACTGGCAGCAGCCTGATGCCTCAGAAGAAGAACCCCGATAGCCTGGAACTGATCCGCAGCAAAGCTGGACGAGTGTTCGGACGGGTGAGCGGGCTCCGGAGGGAAGGGGATGGGGAAACTGCTCATCCAGGGCTGAGGAATGTTCCTCCTTCTTATCTCTGCTTAAAGAGATGTGCCCAGTCTGGGCTCTTCACCTCTGCTGGGACAATGTGCTTCTCCTCTTGTACCTAACCACCTCGCCTGCTTCTCTCTGCAGCTGGCTGCCATTCTCATGGTTCTCAAAGGCCTTCCAAGCACCTACAACAAGGATCTGCAGGTAAAACACATGTTGGCTTTCACTGGGTCTCTCAAACACACAGATCTCTTCTATTCTGGAGTACTTTGCCAGTCCCTGTCCCTGCACAGGCCCTGCTTGTGTGTAGGGGGTGAGGAAGGGGCTGAGGCTCAGCACAATGCGCTTGGCACCACGGCCACAGAGGAGCCCCTGCTCTGCTGGCCTGGCTGCTCAGGCTCTTGGTTGGGATTTTGGGCCACACCGCGTTGACTCACAGCAGTTTTCATCCTTGTTCTAATGCAGGAGGACAAGGAGGCTGTCTTTGATGTTGTGGACACCCTGAACGCTGTGCTCCAGGTGGCCACTGGAGTGATTTCCACTCTCCAGGTAAGGCTTCAGGCTCTCACTACTGAACACTTTGGGGTGAACATCACGTAGATAACATGGGTAAATGAGCTCTAGATGTGTCCTAAGATGAAGGCTCTTCAGTAGCTCACCCATATGGCTCACTATGGCCAGCACTGTCAGCTGCTCAAGGGATCAGAGGGTTCTTTTAGAGCAAGGTCCTTCTGCAGATCAACAAGGAGAACATGGAGAGGGCTCTGAGCCCCGAGATCCTGTCTTCTGACCTGGCCCTCTACTTGGTTCATAAAGGAGTAAGTGTCAGGGGGAGACTGGAAGCTGTGATTTCTTGGGATGCAGAATACTGCTTAGCGAAGGCCTGAGATGAGGCCTTGTGTTCTGTTCCCAGGTGATGGTCAGTCTGGGTGAACAAAAACGAAAGCTGGAAACCTATTCTTTACATGTATCCCGAGTAGTGGAACTGCTTAGCGAGGGCCTGAGTAATTTGAGGTGGAGTGTTCTGTTCTGAGGCGATGATCAGTCTGGGTCAACAAACCTGGATTCACATGGCATTTTACTAGGTGAAAACAAGCCAACCAAAACAGAGCACACGTCTTTTGTGTCCTTTGGAAAACATCCCCATTGCCTGGTCACTGATTGCAGCCTCTACTTCTCACTGCAGATGCCATTCAGACAAGCCCACATTGCCTCTGGAAAGGCCGTCCACCTTGCTGAGACTAAAGGCATCCCCATCAATAAACTCAACCTTGATGAGCTGAAGACCATCAGGTTTGTATCACTTGACTTCCCTCAACAGGCAGGTATCAGCCTCTCGTCATATGGGCTTCCTTATGATGCCCTTTCCCAAATCACCTGTGCCAGACAATACCACAAAACCAATGCCCTCACAACACAGAATGGGGACAACATGACAACCACTCTGCTCCAGCAGGCCATGGGCAGCAGCTACTGAGAGGGACTGGATGAAACTCATGCCCTGACATGGAGGCACCAGCCCTCCAGAAGACTTTGGCTCCAGACTTCTGCCTGTGGAGCTGCCTCTTTGGTCTCCCACAAGCAGCTACTGTCAGGCACCAGAAGTGCAGAAGTGCCTGGGCTGCAGGAAGCCTTTCCCCTGCCAAAAAGGCTCCATGTCCACTCCTTCACCATCTCCACAGGCACTGAGCACTTAAAGCAGGCACCAGCACCCAGTGCTCTCCATTGACACTCTTCTCTTTGCCTCCTCAGCCCCCTGTTTGGCAGCGATGTCTCCCAGGTCTTCAACTTCTTCAACAGTGTGGAGCAGTACACGGCCATGGGTGGCACTGCCAAGAACAGCGTGAGTGCCCAGATTGATCACCTGAGGGAGCAGCTCAAGAGGCTGAAGGAACAGGCTTAGAGTGTGGGGAGAGATCCCATGGGTGTAACGTTGTGCCTATATCACTAACTTGGAGTTAATAAACATTGTGGTGTATTGTCATTCACTGAGACTCCTGTCTTGTGTCTTCCTTCTTAGAAGTATGACTGAGTTGGGCTTCTGGTAGGCAGAGAGTAGCAGGAGTGTCAGCACATGTGTTGCAGGTGGACTGTGTGTGTCCACAAAGAGGGATGCTTGGTGTAACATCTGCAACATCCACCTCATCTCCAGCTATCTCTGCTCTCCTGCTGGGATTATGTTCCCCTGCCTTCGTTCTGGCAGGAAAATAATATCTCCTCACCCCCTGGCACTAGAGCTTGTATGGCCTTAGGCAGGTTGTGCCAACCCCCAGGTCATCTCAGCCCATCACAGAACTACCTGTACTTCTTTTCTGTGTGTGCCACATGCCTGAATTTGCCTTCGAGCTAAATTGTGACAGAGTGCTTTAAAAAGAAATTTAAATAATCCCTGGCATTGCATTGCTGTTGCCTCTTACTGAGGTCATTTAACACCTTTTGCCCTTACAGAAGTAAAACCAGAACTAAGAGCAGGAACAGCCTTACTTGAGGTATGAACTGCCAGGACATCCCCAGGTCCTCTCCTGCTTACTGACACTTCTCTCTGATTTAGTACGTGTTTCACCTTCCAGCTAAGTTAGCTGTGGCAGGGAAATTGATTATATATGTTTAAGTCAGGTGGAAAGGTGACAGCAACAGCCAACACCAAGACTCAGAAGAGGGATTATCTCCTCCTTCCCAGCTCATGGTTCTTTCCCTTTCTCACATGTAGGAAGCCACCCAATTGAGTATCATTTTAGGGCAATGACAATTAAAATTAAGCTTTCTCCTCATTGTTTCATTTCACATGTCTCAGCCAACTCAGCTTTCCCTTGTTCCCAGCTGCCACTGTTCAGCACCTTGGGGGGCAGTGCTGTTTGAAAAAAAAGGAGGTGATTTTAGCAGATTATCACACCTCGATCTATTGCTTAAATTAACAGTTCATCACCACTGGTACTCCCATTTGACCATCCACCTTTCTGATACTGTTATGTGTCACCAAACCGTTCTTTGATCTGCAATACACGAAGCCGTTTGTACTTCTGTATCTGAACCAAATACAGCATGACCGACGGCTGCTTACTGTGCATGGAGGTACATGTTGTCATCCAGGAAGCAAACACAGGCTACAAATAAATATCCTACAAAACTAAAACCAATCTGATGGCATTGCCTCCCTCCCTTGCCCCTATGATACTTTTCTCTTTATTCCTAATGAAGTTCTGGGGGTCGTGGTCTGAATAGGGAAGTGTTACCGTGCTTCACAGCCGAGCCCTGACGTGGTTTTCTAACGCAGCGATCATCCTCCCGCCTGTCCCCACGATTCCATCCGGTCATCAGCGCTCTTCTGTGCCGTTTCCAACAACTTCTTGCCCTCCCGCTTCAACAAGTGACTCTGAGAATAAAGAAAAGTGACTCCGAAAACAAAGCGACTCTGAGAACAGAGGGAGGCGGGCAGCACATCAATAAAGGCACAAAACCATCCTCCCCGCGGGAGCCCAGCGAGCCTGCCCGCAGCCCAGCGTTTTAACGCCACGCTTTGCCTACAGGCGGCTGCAGCCCCGACCGACGGCTCGGGGGATGCGCTCGGGCTCCCCAGCAGGCCCGCCTGCATCCGCTGGTACCGCCCCGCGGCCGGGCCCTGCCCATAGCGGAGATGGCGGCGGCTGCAGCAGCGTGCGGCGGTGGTGCTGGAGCCGGGCTAGCGGGGGGCTGCCGCCGCCTGCTGCTGCTGCTGGCGGTGTGGCGGGCGGCAGCGCTGCCCCGCGGCATGTTGTACCCCCGGGACACCCCGTCCCGCGAGCGGAAGGAGCTCGGCGGCCTCTGGAGCTTCCGCGCCGACCTCTCGCCGAGCAGGGACGCCGGCTTCGTGCAGCGCTGGTACCGGCAGCCGCTCCGGCAGGTACCGCGGGGTGCGGGCGGGGGCTGCCCCGGGGCAATCCGCAGGGCAGGGCCAGCTGCTCCGCCGGGAGCGCCGGTTCCTCTTTCCCTCCCCAGCGGACCTGCGGAGCGGCTGCTCTGTGCGGGCGCCTTGCCGCTGTGCAGAGGGTTCTCTTCATAGACCTGCTAATAACCGACCGCCTCTGGTTACCCCGCTTCGGCTCAGAGGCCAGAAAGCATTTGAATGAACTATAGGCACCCTTAGCGCTGCCTTGCACAACGTTTATCTATGATCAACAGCATCGGATAAACAAAAACGCCTGGAAAGGGCACTCGAGTGATTTTATTCCAAAGTACCCGAGTGCTCATAAACAATTCCAGTGTAACTGAAATCAGGTTTTTTCAGGAATTAACACCATGACCTAAAAGGAATAAGTAGTCTATGTGTAAAATGTGCATGTCCATCATTTCTCTTGTAGCCCTTTGGCCAGCCTTTTTACCCAGTGGTGGAAAGAGGAGCTGAAAGGCACTGTGCTGCTGGAAGCACAGTGAAACGAGGCAGCCAGAGGAGAGGGATCCTTTACTGTGACCCTGCCCCAGAGGGAGGCTTAGCCATGTACAGTCAACCTGCCTGAGACAGCAGAGACTCTCCCTGAAGGAGATGCACATTATGGCCATTCCAGTCAAAGGATTTCCTGTATCATACAGGAAAATCCACTTCACCATCCAGGGATTCTCCTGCTAGGATTTTCTGATGGCTGATAAGGGCCCTGAGTTTCTCTGCAGCGCTGGTACGGTTCAGTGCTGAGTCAGCCACACACATGATGCTCACCCCTGGGCAACCAGACCTTCCTTGTTCTGTTCTCCGTGGAAGGGCTTCCTGAGGAAAGGGGAAGCTGCTGCAGCAGCACTCTTCTGTGCAACATCATGAGCACAGCAGGTGCTAAAAATGAACAGCTCTATGTCACAATAGCATCTGGTTACCTCAATGTTACATGTATTCCAACACTGCCTGCCTGTGATCCTTACATGAAGTATAAGTGAGTGAATTCACTCCATTGTAATCCCAAGGAATCTATTTTGCTTTCAGGGAATGAGAAAGGCTGGACTCATACCAGTCTCCACAAACCTTCCATGGGGAATCTGACTCACAATATCCTCTTGTCACCCTTCTACAACAACTCTTAGCCCAACAAGCAGCAACCTACACCAGTGACCTGGACCACGCCACCAGCCTTGCTCACCAAACACCCAGAGCTGTGCAAGAGAAACTACTGCTTGTGCCAAGTCTTAAGCTGAAACAGTGACCTGGGTGTTCTTTTTCCCCTCACTTCTCTGATTCTGCAATACCAGAGTCATTAATGAAAGCATTTAATTATATATCATCAGGGGAAGAGATATGAGCAGCTTCTTCCTTTAGGAACAAGCAGGTACCTGGGCCTGGTACTAAGTAGGACTTGTATAGGACCTGTGACAGAGCACACCAGTTTCTAAACAGGTCTTCCCAAGTATTTCCACTGGACAAAGGGATTGTAAGGCTGTCAGTGGAAGGGGACACCTGCAGCAGTACAGGTTGGACACTCAAGGGGTAAAATTTCTTTAACTGATCTGTTTCCTCCCTTTCTGTTCCATTCCTGCCAGACTGGCCCTGTGATTGACATGCCAGTGCCTGCCAGCTTCAACGATATCACTCAAGACCCCAGCTTGGAGAACTACATTGGCTGGGTTTGGTATGAGAAAGAGGTGCTGCTCCCTCTCCGCTGGCTTCAGGACGACCTCAACACCAGGGTGGTGCTCCGCTTCGGCAGTGCCCATTACTACTCCATTGTGGTACGTTGCATGGGAGATGGTCCCTGTGTTTCCAGAATTATGCTGCACTAAAACCTGTCTCATGGCTTGTTCAGCAGCTACACCTCTGCCTAGATTTTATATCTTAACTCTGGCCTGTTTTCCTCCAGCCGAGAACTTGGCCCTGTTTCCACGTCTCTCTTCTCTGATTCTCCAGTATCAGGAGTAGTAATTAAAATATTTCCTTGCTACAGGATCAGCCACTGTCATCTCAGTGACCCTTGCTTGTACATGACCCAGGCCTAGCACCCACCAAACGAAGGGCTGCTAAACTGATCCCTTAAGGAGTAAGAGCCCAGAACAAGGTTCAGTGTTACTGGGAATCCCAACTGCCTTTTGCTGGGCTCCTTCCCTTTGCCCTTCTACACTTGCCACAAAAACCCAATAACCTGCTTCTTGGGCTCATGGGTGTCTTCTCTTGCAGTGGGTCAATGGAGTGCAAGTGGTGGAGCATGAAGGGGGCCACCTCCCTTTTGAAGCAGATATAAGCAGCATCATCCAGGATAGCCCAGGGATCCCCTGCCGCATCACTGTTGCACTCAACAACACTCTCACACCCCATACTCTGCCTCCAGGGTCAATTCTGTACATGAATGACACAACAAGGTGAGTTACTTACTGTACTGCTGAGCTTATCCCAGGACTGAGAGAATGGGACTTGATTCAGCTGCTGGTTCACAAGACCTTCCAAGCACCTTAGGAAAGCATGGGATTGTATTTATGCCGAAATTCATCAGTTGAGCAGGGAGGCGTTTAAGCTTTGCTGTTATGAGGAATCTGCAGTGAGTTTTTGCACCTGTTTTATACACAAGGAACTGAGATAAAGTGATTTGCCAAGTTGAATAAATGGCAGATTTGAGAAGCTTGAATTCAGCTGGAATATACAAGTACCAGCTATCCTGAAGGACCAAACTTGTTCAGTGCGTTAGATACTTGTTACCTGGGAGTCCCCTTCAGTGCAGCAGCAGCCCTACTGAAAGATAGATCCATCCTGCTGTAAAGACTATTTTACCAGCTAGCATTTGTTATTACATGACAATTTACATTGCTAGCAACCATAGGCTGCCTTCAGTTCCTGTAATGAAACATAATGTAGCCATTTCTCCTGTCTTCCTCACTCAGGTATCCCAAGAACTATTTTGTACAGAACACCAGGTTTGATTTCTTTAATTACGCTGGAATCCATCGCCCAGTTGTGCTTTACACCACTCCTTCTGTCTACATAGATGATATTACTGTGACAACTACTTCATCAGACAGTGTTGGTAGGTCCAAAACAATTACAGCAGCTACCTGAGGCTCCAAATGGACATGACAGGGGCAGCAGAAGAAAATACCCTGCAAAAGTCCGATTCAGTTTGTTTCATAGTGGCTTTCTCTTGAAGCTGAGGTCATCCATTGCACAGCTCAGCAGCTGCAAGGATATGGTAAAGAGTTCAGAAACAGTAAGAAAAGAATTACTTGCAAGAGACAACTGTTAAAGTGAAAGGATGGTCGGGTGTTTCTTGAAGTGGAATTTCTCTGTAGGGGCAGGCTTCCTGCTGTTAAAGCAGGATTATCACTGACAGAATTGTGTGATACACAAATCTTGCTGGATTGGGGACCTCAAGACAGAGTCTTGAGACTTTACAGCCAATTCATGTCACTCTGTTGTTGCTCTGCACCTCCCTCTTTTAATGCTGCTCTGTGTGAAACCCCCCAACATTTGCTGCATGTATTTTTCCTTTTATGGCAGTTTCTGATTGTCTTTTGTTTCCTTTGAACCAGCAATGGTGCAGTATCAGGTGTCTGTTGTTGGCAGCACCCTCTATTCCTTATCCCTGAGTTTATATGACCAAGAGGGGAAAGTGGTTGCTACAGGCGATGGGCCAGCTGGAGAGCTAAAAGTCCTGAACCCAAACCTTTGGTGGCCTTACCTGATGCACGAGACCCCTGGATACCGCTACTCCTTAGAGGTAACGTGACGTGTCCTCCTTTCCACGTGCATTCACTCTGACTGCCTCATAGGGTTAAAAACTGCCACGTGGCCCATCTTCTGCACCCATCTTCTCACACGGGTGCTGTTCATGTAGCCAGAGTGGCGTTGCTGATTATGCAGTAATCAAATCAAGCTCTGCCAGCTTCTGGATGCTGAAGTGAAAGGTCTGTTGGTGAGAAGGGCATGTGTGCACTCTGAGATACTTGCCCTTCACATTTAGGGCCCAGTCCATTCATTGCAACAGGGATGCTTGAGACAGTGCAGAGGAGGAGATACTGTGAAAGCTGAGTGTGTGAGGAGCAGGCTGCTGACCTCTTCCCCATGCTTTGCCATGCAATGAGCTTTCTTTCCGCTCTGCAAGACAAGAGTTCAGTTTCAACAGCACAAGGATCAGTAGTGACATTGAGGTACAGGAGCTGGGGCAGATGAGTTTCCAGGGGCTCAGGTCCGTATCTCTTGTGAGCAGATGACACTTCAGTCACTGCCTGGCGTCAAGGTGTGAGGACAGAGGAGCTGCAGTGCTGCCCTAGTGCTGCTGCTGCCTTGCCTTGGGGGACAAAACAGGCCAGATGGGTAAGGGGAAAAGGAACTGAATCTCTTGGAGTGAACAAGCCCCAGGAGGATCATCCAGGGTTCATCCTTCAGCTTCCCCAGGCTGGATTTCTATTGTCTGTTTAGTCAGACCTTGCTCCATCGCTGAGGACCACAAGAGGTGGCTGAAACAGCAGCGAGGAGCAGGATGGGAGAAAGGAAAGGACGGGAGGTCGAGGTAGCGCTGATAGTGAAGGGCAG